GCTCTTGTACCCTTTTAACAGATAAGGAGACTGAGGTCATGGGGGCTAACTCTCTAAAGTATGATTCAGTGGATTTGGTCACTCCAGGCTTGGTTGTAACCAGTGCAATTCCTGCAATTCCAAAACATGGGATATGGAAAATTTTAATGAGTTTGAAATGACTGTAGGGTGAGTGCCGGAAGATAAAATGTGAGGCTGGCAATGTAGTCAAGAACTGGAAAGCCTTGAATGCCAGACTAAAAGGTTTTGTACTTCCGTGTATAGGTCAGTGTTTCCCAGGCTGGAATTCCGTGGAAGCCTATTTTACGAGTCATAAATAATGAGATGTGGATAAAGGGGAGAATGGGAGGGGAATTCATGTACATGTGATTTGGGAAACATGGTTTAAATCAAGCTGGACACATTTTCTTTTGTGCTGCAGGACTTGTCAGAGCCTTTACCACGAAGGTGGGCATTGTAATTATCCAAGAAAAAAAAAAGCATCTCCAAGCTTACTTTTGTGGCACACCTCTCAATGGCCCCCAGAATAGTGAATTAGGGGTTGCTGGCAAAAATGATGGCGATCCATGGAGGTGTTTTAAGGCAAGGGGATGGATCATAATGTGATTGCTAGGGCTGTAGGGAAGGTGGCTGCAGAGACTAGAAACAGGCATTAGATTTGGAGGGTCTGCTGAATCCTAGACCCTCCCACCAGGATGTGTGTGAAGGTCGGGGCGGAGGAAAAGGGCTGGTCTGCTTCTGGCCCACTGGCATCAAAGAAAGGCTTCTATTCACAGTGGGTTCAGTGGGGAAAGAAACTGAATTCACACACATGGCATTATCCAAACAAAGCCATGTTGCTTCTGTATAGAACAATGGGCTGGCTTTTCAGGGGGAATTTAGTGGCTGTGGCATATTGCCCAGGCCATCAATTAAATTCCAATCCAATTTCCTTCCAAAGCATTCTCTGCCTTGGGAGTTCCTTTTTAACGCGGAGTGAATCTGGCTGATGAGGCAGGAAGATGGATTGGCCAAATTGCGCAAGGACGCTGTCTTTCACCAGGGCCAGCCTCTCAGATCTTCCAAAAGAGGTCACCCAGCATTAACAGCAAATTAGGCAGAATTAGATCATAGAACAGTTTTAGAGAGGTAGGAGTCTCCTTTCACCTGATCACTTCATCCTTGTCCTCCCTCAGAGGAAACTGAGGCTCAGAGAGCAGAGATGGCAGGGCCGAGGTCATGCAACTATGAAATTAGCTTCCTAAACTGGTCCCCCAGAATTTACTTTTTTTCCTTCCTTCCTTTTTTTCTTTTTTAAGTAGGACGCAGCTCAAAGTGGCCCACGTGGGTATCTTTGCCGACAGGGAACCAGCAACCTTGTTGTTCAGAGCACGGGCTGTGACCAACTGAGCCGCCCGGAAATGACTTCTGTTTTCATGGCGGACCACTCTCTCTTCAGCAACTAGAGGCACCCAGAGCCTTCACTGACCACATAACCCCTTGTGCTAAAGCCTCCCCGGAAGCATCCCCGTGAACTTAGACTGAAATCCGGACGGGATGGAGTAGGGTGTAGGCCAGGGGTTCTTTTTTGTGGTTACAAAATAGGAAGCATAATTTCTCTTCCACAAGGTTTTTTGTTCTAGAATCAAAGTAGGCAACGGATGTGACTGTGCCGTGTACATGAAAAAGGCTATAAAATACTACATGATGAACTTTAATGCAGTTCAATGCAACTTTACATGGTTATGGAGCTATTATGGGATGCAATTTTCCCCATGCCTGGAAGTCCCAATGGCAATGGTTCTCCAACATCAGTGGGCATGTGACTCATCTGGGGTACTTGGTAAAAGCGCAGACTCCTCGATCCCACCCTGCAAAATTCTAAGTTACTGGGTCTGGGATGAAACCCAGGAATCTGCATTTGAAAAATCAGTCTAGAAGATTCTGCTGCAAGAAGATTCTTTTGAGGGCCAGCCGAGTGGCTCAGTCGGTTAAGAGCATGAGCTCTGAGCAACAGGGTCACTGGTTCAATTCCCACATGGGCCAGTGAGCTGCACCAAAGCTGAGCTGCCAACAGGTGGCAGGATGGCTCAGCTGTTGAGAGCACATGCTCTTAACAACAAAGTTGCCGGTTCAACTCTGTGTGGGATGGTGGGCTATGCCCACCCGCAACTAAGATTGAACACGGCACCTTGAGCTGAGCAGCTGAGAGCTGCCAATGGGAGGCCAGATGGCGACTGAACTTGCAGCTGAGCTAGCTGCGCCCTCCACAACTAAGATTGAAGGACAACAACTTGGCTGTTCTCCTTCCCCAATTCCCCAACATTGTTCCCCTTCCCCAATTAAAAAAAAATCTAGGAAAAAAAAAGATTCTTTTGAAAAACACTGGTCTGGAGGAAGGTGATACCCAGGGCTTCCTGGCAGAGAATCAGGAATTTAAATGGATGATTTAATCTTGAGCTTGGGGAGGTGTCACGGACGGTGTCCCAGGATCATCACTGGAACCCTGGCCTCATAGTTTGCAGGTCTGAGCATACATTGCATTTCCTGTGTCCCTTTGGAAAACTGAGGCTAACCCCACTTTCCAATCCACCTTCTCCCACCATTGACTTTATTTTCCATTTACCACTTACACAGCGTGACCACCTCCCAAACATATTTGGATGCTCACATCACCCAGTCTCTGATCAAAAATTATGGCAAAACATTGTCTTGTCATGAGGCTAATAAAGCATGTTATCCTGCCTGTCATAGAAGCTGCTTTACAGATGCTGCTTGCTTTCCACCAGGGCCCTGCATTAATCTCCCTTCCATTCGGCTACAAAGAATGGAGTCTACCTGGGAAGATCAATATTGCATTATCTCACCCACTAGTTTCTATCTCGTTGGGGCCAATGAGTTGACATTCTCGTGTTACAAGCCTAGTGCACAAAGGGAGAGGCAGGAAAAGAGGGAAGGGAAACCACCCATGAAGACGAAGAGTGCTCCCAGGAGCACTGGGGGTGGTGCCAGAGAGCCAAGAACACAAAACGGAGTTAAAGACACTTGCTCTGGAGTTGGACAGACCTGGGAACAGTGCTAAACTTACTTCCAGAAGCTTTGGGATAACAATCCTATTTTTCTGAACCTCAGTTGCCTAACCCAGAAAATGGGTAGGACTAGACACAGAAGGATTAAATAAGATGATATGCATGGTGAAGTGTTGAGCCCAGTTCTTGGCATATAGTAAGGGCTCAATTATTATTGTTGAGATATTGTTATTATTGTAGTTGTTGTCATCTTCACTACTTCCTGGATAACACTGGACAAGTTGCTTTCCCTCCCTGGGGCTCAATTTCCCCAATTATAAAATAAGAATATTTTTGCATCTCTGAAACAAACAAACAAACAAAAAAACAGCAACCAAAGCAAGAGACTTAACTTGTGATAGCAGAATTAGCAAAGGTTTTGGAAATGAGACATTGATGCTGATGGTTGTGGTGTGTGTGTGTGTGTGTGTGTGTGTGTGTGTGTGTGTGTGTGTGTTGCTCGCACACATGCTTTCTGTGTGTCAGGGAATTAGGCTCACCTGGTGGAGAAAACAATACCAGCAAAGATATGGTGGCAAAAAAGTAAGAGGCAAGTGTGCAGAATAGAAGCTATGGGTGCCTCCAGTGCCCCCATAAAGATGTCTATTTAAATACTTAAATTTTGGACCATTTCAGAATTACAGTTTTATCTCTTTGCACCCCTCCATTCATCTCTTCTTCATCCAAGAGGGGGTCAAGATGGTGCATGGTGGATGCGTTGCCTCCAGATGAAAGCCTGGTTGCCTAAGGCTGGATCTTAAGGAAAGTGCTCCCTGGTGTCTCCTGGCCGCTTGTGACACCATCTCATGGCTAGCATCCCTGCCCTCCTACCCTCCACCCCTCAGCCCCACCTTCCTACCCCTCTATGTGGGTAGCCATCTTGTAGTCATTACTTTCCAGGTGAGCTGAGTTCATGCTTAGTTAAAAGGGAGTTGCAAGAAGCAATCCCCATTGAAGGGTGTAATGAGATGTTCACTAATGATCGAGACCAAAATGAAGATGAAACGCGGCCGACCATCCCTTGGAAAGTGGAAATTTGTAGTAGAATAATGTCTCATTGGCCTCTTTGGGTATCACTTGGTTCAGGTTTTTATCCAAACCATTCATATGGTGCTTAGCGTGTGCCTTCATTCCCAAGTCCTGAAAGAATAGAAACAACAGAACAGCAATAAAAATAGTAGTTAGTATTTATATAAACAACATTAGTTTTCTATCCGTCTGCTAGTTACTGCATTGTAAGAAAGCAGCTGGATAGATTTTTTTAATCAAAATTGGAAGATTTGTACTCAATTTGTGGCAGTATCTACTAAAGATGCACATGCCATACTGTGCAACCAGCATTCCACTGGAAATACATCCAACAGTAATGAGTACACATGTGCACCAAAATACATGTATTAATAATACAATATTCACTGTTATACTATTCATAATAGCCAAAAACTGGAAGCAACTCAAATCCCCTCAGCAGGAGAATGGCTAATTTGTGGTATAGTCACAGATGGACTACTATGCAGCAATAAAAAAGGAATGAACTGCTGCTACACTCAACAACATGACTAAATCTTACAAATACAATGAGTGAAAGGAACCATATACAAAAGAGAACATGTTGCATAATTATCCAATGAATTCATAAGCAGCCAAACGAAATCTCAAACATATACAGCCAAATAGGGGATGCCCTGAGGGGAGTGACCCGAGAATACAGTATGTGCTGGCAATTTTGCTTCCTGATCTGGTTGCCAGTTATATAGGCATGTCCAACTTAAGAAAGCTCACTGAGTGGACTTTTCTAGACATATGTTACACTTCAATAAAAGTTTATGAAATGCATTAAAACATATGTTTGGGACCAAGAGATTCTAAATATGGTCTACGTGACCATCCTCACTTTGGGTGTTGGACACAAAAGATCTGAGTTCTGACCTAATGCTCTTATCCCTCTGCCAGGTTTTATCTGGTTATCTTATGCCAAGTGGAAAACTCCAGGCAGAGGTAAAGGACAAACCTCAGGACCCCTCGCTCCTGGCCCCACAGCCTCAGATAGATGTAAGTGCCTTGGAGAGAAAAGCATGAGCCCTGGAGTTAGCTTACCTCCCTTCCATCCCCACCTTCCTTTGAGAACAGAGACTGTTTCCACCATATTTTTATCTTCCCCATTGCTGAGGTCAATGCCTGGCACCCAGTGGATTTTCAGGGAGTTTTTTGAAAGATTGTATGAAGGTATGGATGAATTGATAAATCGCTATTGTGAAAATTAAATAAGATAATGTGCTTAGAATGCTTTGAACAGTACCTGAAATAGCATAGAGCTAGACATTAAGGGGCTCCTATGTCAAACAGACCTGGGTTGAATCCCAGTTCCACCACACTCTCCCAGTGTGTTCTTGGGTGCGTGAATTTCCCTCTATGAGTCTCAGTTTTCCCATCTGCAAAATGGGAAAACTAACAGTCCTTACATCACAGAGTCGTTCTGAGGATTAAATGAGATGGTGCATGTAAAACACTTAGCACATCATAAGGTCCAAAAAAGTGGTCGCCGTTGATATCATTATGTCAAACGTATTAGTGATAGTGTGAATACAGCTACAGTTATTGTTCCTGAAAAAGGGAGATTGTGGCCCTTCCTTCTTCCTCTCTCTGCGTCGATCTTTCTCTGTGTCACCAGCCCCACGTGTGCTGAGCCAACCTTGGCAGAGGGGGCTGCTGAGTGAATAAAAGGAGCTCCTGCCTCCACCCAGGGAGATGGCCCAGGGCCAGGGCGTACGGGCTCAGTGCCCATGAAGTGGGCCAGGTGGGCACCAGGACACTGAGGCTCTCTGTGTAGCCTCCGCGGGGCAGGCTGCTGACAATGGCCACTCTGAGGACCATCGAGTCTGCCTCTGCAGTGCTTCCCCCGAGCCCCACACCCACCACCTGCCCATGAGGCAGGCCTGGGAGTGAAGGGAGGCTCTGTGCACTACCTCAGCCTCAGGCCCACACACACCCGATCCGTTGTTCTTCTTGGCTGCAAAAGCTCATTAGACGCTGAGCAGAGGCTGGCTGGGCTCCAAGAGGAAGGCATTAAGGCCCAGGAGTCAGAGAATGGAGGAGCCTGGGGCTCGGCTTTAGACTGTGCCAGCCTGCTCCCCAGCTTACACTGAGCTCATCTGCTTGGTGAGAACCTTGACCTGTAAAGGCTGAGGGTAGAGAGGTGTGCTGTGCATCCTATATCCCCGAAACACAGAGTGTGTGTTCAGTATGTGGTTATCAGATGGAATGGATTGGGATGAGATGGGTGGACTGTGAAGGGATGAGAGAGAGTAAAATAAAAAGCAATTGAATGGGAGAGAGTGGGATGGATGGGGTGGAATGTGGTGAAATGGAATGGGATGAGATGGACTGGAATAGGATGGATGAGAGGGGAGGAAAGGAGGCAATGAGATGGGGTAGAAGAGAAGGAATGGCTTCTATTTCTGGCCCAAGTCCCTCTTGACACTGACCTGGAAGGCGGCAGGCGTGGATCTGGCATGGACAGAGTCACCTGAGAGAGCAGGGGACAAGTGGGGATATGCAGAAACTATTTCTTCCTCCAAACCCCACAATGGTCAGCTATGGCCCCCAAAGATGAATGGTCTCTTAACATCACCTATCTGCATGACATCAGGTATGGAGGGGATATAAGAGACTATCTTGCCCAGTGCTTTACAAATTATGTTCAGATCCCAACCCCACCAGCTATTATACTAGTTGTGTTGCTTTGGGCAAGTGACCAAACTTCTTTGAGTCTCAGTTTCTTCATCTGTAAAATAGGGGTAATAAATAATAGTACTTACCTCCCAGGGGCATTGAGAGGAGCAGATGAAATGATCCATGTAAAAGCATGTACTGTAGGACCCGACACTTATCACCATTAGCCTCCATCATCACCACCACTACCACCACCACCATCATCATCATCATCACCATCATCATCATCGCCACCATCATCACCACCCTCATCATCACTGTCATCACCACCACCACCTTCATCACCACTATCACCATCCTCATCATCACCATCATCATTATCATCATCACTGTCATCATCATCAAAGGTGGCTCAGATAAGGGGAAAACTTAAGGGGCAGCTCTCAGACTCACACCCCAACTCCTGATTCAATCCATGTAGTCCCATTTTGGGCTGATTATAAGGGTTCAGAGGACCCCAAGACCACCCTCAGGTTTAATCATTTGCTAGAAGGACTCACAGAACTCAGAGAAGCCATCACACTCAGAGCTCTGATTTGTTACCGTGAGAGGATTCAGACCAAAATCAGCAAAGGGAATAAGCTCATGGAGCAGAGTCCTGAAGAGACCAGGCATAAGCTCCCAGTTATCCTCGTCCCATGGAGTTGTGCAGGCAGCACCTACTTTCAACATGAGATGCTATGCAACACCCACAAAATATTGTCAACCAGGAAAGCTCACCTGAGCCTTGGTGTCCAGGGATTTTACTGGGGGCTGGTCACATAGGCATAAGTGACCACCCACGTGGCTGACTTAGTCTGCAGCCTCTGTCAAGGTCAAACTGATACCATGCCCAAGGCTCACACCATAAATAACATTGTTAGCAGAGAGTTCCTAGCAGGGCCCAATGCCCCCAGATAAACAATCACACTTTTATCAGGGTCTTAGAGGCTCCCTTCCAGAAGCCAGGGAACTTTCTCTGGAATATGCAGGGTGTGGACAATCCAAGCCTGCTGAGTGAATCCTTTACTGCACAATTATGTATTGCCATTCTTATTAAGGTTTCATGTAAAGAAATGATTCCATTATACAGAGATTAAAATGGAACTCTAGAGATGAGAATGGACTTACCAAAGGACACAGAGGAAGTTAATGAGGCATCCTGACTATCCTAATTCAGAGCTTTTTCCTTCATACCACAGGCCTCAGTTTGCCCATCTGTTAAATAGGCATCCTGGGCCAGTTCTCGCACCTCTGAGGTGCCTTTGGGTTCCGCCTTTGTAGACGTTGTCCTTTCACTTTTCTCTGCAGTCCAGTCCTCAGGAGGAGCACCTGGGTCTCTGCCACCCGTAGGGCACAGTTAGGGCCCTCCTTTGTCTCTGGGACCTCTTGGCTGGAGCAGATCCTGTGCTAATTTGTTTGTAGTAGGAAGTACTTGGCGTTCACTCTGGAAGCATCCAGGCCAGGGTTCTGGGGCCAGCTGGAGGAGAGACGTGGAACAAATACAGTTGACCCTTGAACAATGCAGGGGTTAGGAGTGCCGACTCCCCACGTGGTCAAAAGTCCATGTATAACTGTTGACTCCCCAAAAACTTAACTACTAATAGCCCACTGTTGACAAGAAGCCTTACCAATAACATAGTCGATTAACACATATTTTGTATGCTATCTGTATTATGTACTGTGTTCTTACAATAAGGTAAGCTGGAGAAAAGAAAATGTTATTAAGAAAATCGTAAGGAAGAGAAAATATGTTTACAGTATTCAGCATTCAACACAACAGGTAAAGCCATGAGAATGTCTTATTTGTCCCCAGCAAATAAAGCCTCTTGTCCCTGTTATGTCTGAAGAGAGACCTGCCCTCATCTCTTAAATGAAACAAATTAAGCCTTGCAATTGTAAGACTGCTTTGGACATCTTTTTAAATTATTATTATTAAAGTTTATTGGGGTGACAATTGTTAGCAAAGTTACATAGATTGCAGGTGTACACTTGTGTAATACATCACTTATATATCCCATTGTGTGCTCACCACTCAGAGTCAGTTCTCCTTCCATCACCATATATTTGACCCCTTTACCTTCATCTACCACACCCCTCCCCCCTTACCCTCTGGTAACCACTAAACTATTGTCTGGGTCTAGGGGTTTTGTTTCTTCATTTGTTTTTCTTGTTCTTTTATTGTTTTCAGTTTTATATTCTACATATCGGTGAAATCATATGGTTCTCGACTTTTTCTGTCTGACTTAATTTGCTTAGCGTTATAATCTCAACATCCATCCATGTTGCTGCAAATGGCACTATTTCATCTTTTTTTATGACAGAGTATTATTCCATTGTGTATCTATACCACATCTTCTTTATGGCTTTGGACATTTTAAAGTGCAATCATACACAAAACTCCTCCCCGTCCCATCGCCCCAATGTTTGTTTCAAGGTTAATCAGGTAAAGATCACTGTCCTAACTTCATGAGACCAGAAAGCAAGGCTTTGAAAGGTGGAATTTGCTCAAAGTCACATAGCAGTTTAACGGTAAAAACAGTGCCAAGGCCAGGTCTCCTGCCTTCCCGGGTCATCTCCGCCTCTGAGCACATCCTATAAGCGTCCTGGGATGCCGACTTGCTCTTCATTTTTGTCTGTGAAGCTGAGCAAACAGGTGAAGAGAAATTGTAAACTTGCTATATCTTTTATATATATTTATTTATCTTTGAATTTTTGTAAGAGTTTATGTGAGCCAAACTGACGAGATATGCTGGGAGCAAGATCTCAAATGCTCCCCACTTGCTATGTCTTTTAAACTCACTTGTAAACCGTCTGGATTCATCCCCAAGTATTAGATTTGTCTGGGTGAGTATAGTGGTAATTGAATCTCGATAGATTTCCCACTGTGGGTTTCCTCTCTGAGCTGTCTTGTGTGCCTGTCTCTCAGCCCTCCCTCAATGACTCACTGATTTTCATGTACACAAATAAATCATGCTGTGTTCCTCTCCCCTCCACTACCGACAAGAAATCACCAAGTCTCACCATGAGATATGAATGAAGTAGGGGTGGGAGGGGGGAGGGGGAAGGATGGAGGCAGGAGGGGAGAAGGGTGTTTAAATGCTAATCGGTTGGCACTAATGTCAACCACAGTTAATCAGATTGTTAAAGACACAAAGGCCGGATCACACCCCTGTGCCAACAGCTATCAGGCCTCATTTACGGGAAAGATAGATGCACTGCCCAGCTGATGCTCTGATGAGACGTAACTGGACATAAAAGAACGTTCAAGGCTTTCTGAACCCAACACGAATTACAAAGGAAGCCCATTCGTGTGGGAGAAGCTAGCTCACAGAGGACAA